GATTTACAAACTGGAAATACGATCAGATCAATAAGTCGGACCAATATGCGATGGAAGCCAGCTCTCTCGCGGTATGGGAACATGGGTACGTAGTACATACCGCCAAGGACTTCTTGGATCACGAGATCAGCCAAATCGAGTTAAATGTTCGGAAGTTTTGACGAGGCTCGGCTATTGTTAGATGAAACCGCAACATTGACACCGTGATACGAGGGATAACCGCGAATGCTAGTATTGGGGACCCAGACCCGATTATGCACTGATCTTGCCTATTACGACCAGTGAGAAGTTTTATTAGATTCGGGTTCGGCAATACGGGTGTTCGGGTACCCAAACCCGCGTCCTCAAAATCGTCCCGAACAGACCACCGGCCGGCGGGCAGTCAACATCTCTGCAAATCGACCTACATCAAATCCGCGTGCTCCCATGCACAAAAATATGATACACCGGTGAATGTGTCGGTGTTAAACAAAATTGGGCAGTATAGGAATTCTTCTGGAGGGCCGGTTTCGCGTAAGCGCAACCGCGTTAACAGACTTATAACTGAGTTGACCGGCCACCTTCCTATACTCCCCCACTAAGGGGCTCGACTGCCGTCTGGAAGTTCTTCGAAACCGTAGACTCACCCCAACCCAAGATGCGACGATGGTACTAGAGAATATTGGTTTTGGGAGAGAAAGCCGAGATTAGGCGCGCCGAACGGTCGAGGCCTTAATACGACTGTACTCGTGGATCACGTCTGTCTATCGCACTCCAGCTACGGCTCGGACTCGTTCACGCGTATATAAATTTGGGAGTCGACGTCTACGGCGATCGCGGTAGGTTCTAGAGGTTCACAGGCGTATATGTGGCGTTTGTCACCGCTTGTAGACTTGAGTTCCACTCATTGATTCTTTGCTTAACAGCGGAAGCTTACACTCGATAGGCGCTAACTTCAAACCGTTGTATGTTGCAGTCCTGATGATAGGAGGGAACAATTATAGTAGCATAGCCCGGCCATGGGCTCTACGCATACCCGAATTCCATATCAACCCCCGCTAACAGACAATTACAGCTCGCTCCGATGAAGGTCCTAGTGTCCTACCACACAGTTCGATAAGAATTCGCGTCCATAGACTAGACTTCGTATGGTAAAAGATTATTATACACGCCTGACACAGAGGAAAAAGGAAACCCAGATGTGGGACAAGTGGGGTAACCGTGCTACCGTTTTGTAACAAGTCACTTATCCCAGTACCTAACCTGGCATAGGGCTTGACTGCTACTAAGCGACTTACTTCAGTAGTCCAATCCCCGGACCAGGCAATTAACCTACAAAGGCACGCAGGTCAGTGGACGCATAGCGCCATGAGTTATGCGTGATCGATTATGCTCCGGCCCGGGCTAGCGGGTGAAAGACTCGAGTACGGAGCTCCTGGATCTAATTTTTTGGCACGGGTCTCCCCACCCGAAACTTAAAGCTACAGGAACCCGACTATCTCGTAGGGAAAATAATGGATAGATTCATCCCATATCCAAGTCCTCGGAAGTCACTAGGCAACGCCTCCAATTTAGCGGGCCCGAAGGATATTCCAAAAATTTAAGCATCCATCATTTCTGCCAGTCAACTTGAAATATTGCCTATTTGTTAGTCGCAGGAGCCCCCGCGGTAGTGGCGTCGTAGTGAAAGTCAAGAAAATAGTTTTTGAGCCGGTTACAAGGAATGTATCAAGCAACTTACTGGGATGCGAAAATGCTAGGCCTTTCGAGTCCGCCAATATCTACCACGTGTGCCTTGTCGCTCGCCAAACTTCCACAAACCAACTCGTAATTACGGCGTGGGCTTATATTTTAGCCCGATGCGACCGGTCTGGCGGCGAGTAACGAGTCTACTTCCGCCATTGCCATCCATATATGCTTTACATAGGTAGGTCGCAGCCTGAGTAGAGAAGAAGGTACTCCATCAAATCAAACCTAAGTACGCCGACCTCCCAGGCCAACAGTCCGCATGGTGTTCATTACTGCACGTTTTGCTACCCATAGCGGCAAAGGGTAAGAAACAGCCAGCCAAGCCGTTAGTCTCCAACACCAGGGTACGACAGCTTAAGCACAAATCCTAAACCCAAAGCTCCCTCTTGAGACTGGGTTTCGACACCCTGGGAGAGTCTCTCTTGCCTTTCCATAGAGACGACTATTACTTCAAGAAGCCCAACTGCATCGGGGCTATCCGTGGAACTTTGAGGCCCGGGGCTTCGTTATAACGGAACGTAGTAGTCGGTGTCAAGGTCTTGATTATTGAGGGAGCTAACCAAGCAAGGGCGGTTACTAATTACATTAACATGCCTGGTGGAGCGGAAAACAACGTCTGCACAATTAACGGCAGTATTCAAAGACTGTAAAAGGAGACTGAGGAGGTCAAGACCCTTGGGGTAGAACTCATTTCTTTAGCGTAATACCGGGGTGTAATTTCTCCGCGCCGGTGGCATCTACCAACCTGCCTAACGGACTGACCGATGATTCCATTGCGTAGTGAGTAACTGTCGTAGATCAGAGGTCCGCGCAGTGGGTGCCCCTTGAGTAGGGGTTGATTGCGCTCGCATGCTTTAGTGTCTCCTTAACCGAGACTGCAATGCTTTTGCGAATGATGAAGATAAGATCGGTCCCATCCGATATCGATCAGAAATTCGATCTTGCAATTTTCATTGAGCCGCCCTGGAATAGCTCGACTCGTACAATAAAAAAGTTGCGTTTTAAAACGGTGCGCGAGAGTCGCCGTTGTTAGAGAGCCAGGCCAACTCATGTTGATAGGCAAAGTCCGGTCAGAAGAAAAATCGGTCTTGCCTGGGAAGGATCATGCGACTGGCATCATGGGAGCTTCCTAACGGTATACCTCAGCCGTGTGAAAGATTTGAGTCGGGGACTAGGATGCCGTCCATACTAATTCGTCAGATCCTACCTACAATAGCGTATTTTAGTCACAACTATTCGACGTGTGCGACGAATATCCTATCAGCATTATTCCGTCCGTGTGAGGGGAGAGCCTGACATGAGAGTTGCAGGATAGGTTGACGACACTGAGCATTCGTGGTGTGCTCTTGACGGATCTCCGTTGCTTGCATGCTGTCAAGCACGTACAGCTGCATGTAATGCGGTGCTTGATTGTCAAGCGGCTGCAGGTGAGATGTGTGGTGATATGTCTGGCCATGGACCTTGAAGACATATGGGCCTCGTCCTGCCAAATCGACGATTTTCGCTCCCATCAACGCGAAGGAGACAGTGCCGTTGTAGGATCGTATGTGATCGTGGAAGTGAGTGTGATTCGGATGAGTTGGGTCAGTCAGCAATACGCGGAGAAACTCAGGATATTCCAGCTCAACTCCGTTGATGTCCTTTGGCTTTGGCAACTTGAATTTGCCCTTAAAGCAGCACGAAGTTAATTTCCGATCAACAGGGCATTCTGAGATGAAGTTTCTCGAGTCGCAGAACTGGCAGATGATGTTCAGTGGACTGCAATTGTGCGCCTCTACTCGAGTGTCATCGAAATTGATGGCTTCATTGCGGATCGCTTGTCTCTGATGACTCTGAATGACCGCTGCACGCCACGACTGCGATTGCTCAGCGGTTTGTCGATTGATGAAACGTTGTTGAGATTCACAATGTGCTGCACGAATTATCTCGAGCGACTCCTGACTTTGCTTGGCCAACCATCTTTGCTTTCGTTCGTTTGGCTTTCGACGCTTTTTTGCGATGGGATCTTCGTCCTCGTCCATAATTTGTTACTGGAAGTGAAAAAATCTTTAAGGAACATTATGAAGGCAAATAGAGAGAGAAGAGCGGGCTGCCTCTCCTTGGCCTCCCCTAGCTCTTCTCTCTCTCAAGCGTTCATCATATTCATCATAGAAAGATAAAGTAGTGCGCTTACCAACGTATACGAACGTCTGTCCCTGCAACTTGTTGATTGTGATAGCGTATGCGGGGAGAATAGGAAATTGACGTCGTCGCAAAACAAATGGCAAAGTTCTGTCGGTGGGGGCCAATACGATTCTGGGAATCTATTCTGAGAATCAACACTGAATCGCCTCGTTCTTTCTCTCTCTCAAGCGTTCATCATGTTCATCATAGACAGATAAAGTTGTGCGCTTACCAACGTAATCGAACATCTGTCCCTGGACTTGTTGATTGTGATAACGTATGCAGGGAGAATGGGAAATTGTAGTCATCGCAAAACAAATGGAAAAGTCGTGTCGGAGGGGGCCAAGTCGATTCTGGCAATCGATTCAGGGAATCAACACCGAATCGCCTCGTTGTCTCTCTCTCAAGCGTTCATCATGTTCATCATAGACATATAAAGTTGTGTACTTACTAATGTAATCAAACGTCTCTTCCTGCGACTTGTTGATTGTGATAGCGTATGCGGGGAGAGTGGAAAATTGTCGTTGTCGCAAAACAAATGGCAAAGTCGTGTCGGAGGGGGTCAAGTCGATTCTGGGAATCGATTATGTAAATGAACACCGAATCGGCTCGTTCTCTCTCTCAAGCGTTCATCATTTTTCATCACAAATAGATAAAGTTGGACGTTTATATTATTATATTAATGTATGTTTTTATGCAGTATCCACTGACTATGCAACAGGGATTTCTAAATGTTTTTTGGCCGAGCAGCAGGAGCAGTCTCTAGTTTGGAGTGCGTAGGAGCCTCATGCTACTACAGGCTTAATTATGATATCATTAAATATTATATAAAATAATTCGTAATAAAGTTATATTTAATGCATTCTTAGTCAATTGAGAATTTTCCTAAATATGAAATAGATAAATATTAATAAATAAATATCAACTATTAAATAAATATTAACTATATAAAATATTCAATATGATCTCATTCAATGTCATTACAACTAAATATGAACGTATCCACCGACTATGCAACAGGGGTTTCTAAATATATTTTTGCCGAGGAGCAGGAGAAGCTTCTAGTTTGGAGTGTGGTTGTAAAGCGCATGCGGAGAAGTCGCACACTACTACACGCGTTCTGTCTCTCTGTTAGAAGGCTCACACGGGGCCTGCGTATGCAATTTAAGCATGGGTCTCTCATGTGCGGCTCTTACTGGGACGAGGTACTTTTTCACTTCATCCAGGGCATGACCCATGCGACTGTAGGCCTCCGACGGTGGAGCAAACACCTCAATCAGGACGTGCAGCTCCTCGCTCAGGTGTGCGTATTTGTTTTCACCGCTCTTTCTCATTTCCTCCTCCTGCCGAAGAATGAAATAATGGTCAGAGTCGCGAATACGCACTGCAGCGCCAGACGCCAATCGACTGCGCATTTCGGTTATTATAATTTGGGTCCATGTTACATCACATCACTGTCTAAATATTTAATATCTGTTTGAAAAGTCTGGCTTTGGAAATGGTTGGTGTTAAAGTAAAGCGGTGGTTATGTTGCAGCCAAAGTTTTTTCCAATGTGCCTGTTTAAAAAAGTCTTTATTTATGCCATATTGACTTACCAAAGCTTTGTCCCTCATTGATCCTTTTCCCAAAATGGACATTTTGGTTCCCGTTTCTTCCTGCATTCTTTTGAGAGAATTACCTCGTGGCCCCAGCAACTTCCCCACAAAATTGAACTGCAAAGCAAAAGAGAAAATATTTCAAATGAGGACACACACAATCCAATCGTTGCTCCTCGAGATGCAGTTGCAATTGGACGTTATATGAATCCAAAATTATCTCAGCATCCACGTTTTTCTTTTTCATCAGATCTGAAATGGCTCCGTTATGAAGTTAAGCATTGAAAATAAAAAGGAAAACAATTAACTGTTTAAATAAATTATGCTCGGTGATTCAAAGTGTCCCCCAGCCTCCCCCACAGAAGTAAGTGGATGTGTGAATGCTTGTGAGCCAGTAATATTCGTAGCGAAAGTAAGCTGTGCTGTGACTATATTCATGGGATTGGAAAACATTAAAGCTCGATTCTGTGCATGATTGCTGGGGAGAGAGGCAATTGTACCGAACAAGGAAGAATCTCTACAGCTGCAATACCACAGGCACGCAGGTGATGAGAATGAATGCAATGCATGTGGGATTAATATACAAATTACACATTGCATGACAACACAAATCAGGAAATGCACAGCGTTCTCTGTAAAACAAAATAAAAAACGCGCTACTTCCCATCATCCTTTAACCAGAAATTACCAGAGGTGGGACAAAGTCATTGTTATGCAAGTCCAAGTCGAGTCTGAAGTCATCAAATTCATGACTCGAGTCTGACTCGAGTCCAAGTCACATGACTCGAGTCCACACCTCTGGAAATTACTTATTTAATGTATAAAGAGTACCATATATTTAATGGGCTCAGAGAACTGTAAACAAGACTTGAAACTCCACATGCAGGGACTTGGCTATTGTAACATTTCTATAGTGATGTCACTGCTCACAAAAATGGGAAATCATGAAGTCGGGAGTGAATGAGCCACGGTGACAGTGTGCATGCACGTATTCAGCATGCAGTCAGTGGCGCCTGGTCTCTATGGGCGTTGGGGCGGCACTCTACCTAAAAATTGTTTAAACGTGAAACAAATGGCTAATTTAATGTTTTTGACATTTTTAATTAGGATAAAATCTATTTTTAAATAATTTGAATTTTTGGCCAGGTTTCTCTGCCCAAATGGGATGCATATTTCACCACCATCTCCTTGGCCAATTTAAACCAATCCCACAGACTGCTGCCACCCTTTGAACAAATTGAGGCCAAAGAAGTGCTAATAAATTCAAAAACAAGCATGTCCAATAACAAGCCTGGCTAGTAACAAGCCTGGCCAATAACAAAATTGGCCAATAACAAGCCTGGCCACTAACATGCCTGGCCAATAACAAACCTGACCAATAACATGCCTGGCCACTAACATGCCTGGCCAATAACAAGCCTGGCCAATAACAAGCCTGGCCAATAACAAGCCTGGCCACTAACATGCCTGGCCAATAACAAACCTGACCAATAACATGCCTGGGTACTAACATGCCTGGCCAATAAAAACCCTGGCCAATAACAAGCCTGGCTACTAACATGTCTGGTCACTAACATGCTGGCCAATAACAAACCTGACCAATAACATGCCTGGCCAATAACAAGCCTGGCCACTAACATGCCTGGGCCCTAACATGCTTGGCCAATAAAAACCCTGGCCAATAACAAGCTTGGCCAATAACAACCCTGACAACTAACAAGCCTACCCAATAACACACCGCCATTCCAAGGACATTTACATCGAGACAGCCCGCCCCTCCCCATCAGACACTATGATACAGGAACTGCCACAACTAGAACTGTGACCCAGCAGCCGCCACCACATGCAATGTCTTAAACAATCAACGTTGTTGTACCTTTGGATGCTGTTTTGCTGGAATGATGACCCGTTCAGCCAACTTCATATTCTTATTGCTGACCAAGTCCAAGAATTTTCTCTCCTCCTCATCTACAGCATTATCTCTTTGCACACTTCAGTTTCTGTTAAGCAGAAAAGAGTTGTAAGATGTTAAGCACAACCTAATATAACCAGATATGTGTTTCTTTCTGGTGCGTGCATTTTTAAAAGAGGCCATCGCATCGTGTTTTAGCCACGATTTGCAATGAGCTTATTCTTACACTTGGCTTGTTGTGGAGGTGCGGGCAGCCGGCCTCTTTATAAATAAAATGTGACAAGTCAGACAAATCCCCATTCTCCAACACATTTGCTCCCATGTAGAGCGGTGTTGTATTGAAGCGGCAGCATCTGTTACCTTTACAGGACTAATCTGAGACCAATGTAGAACGTGCCACTTTCACTAAATAGCTCCTTACATGGAGGAGCCTGGCTCTAACTCAAGGACACTGACCCCTTGTTGCCTATTTAAAGAGAATATCGCAATTCCAATTTGCGATGCGAGCGCTGACACACGATCCAATTAATGAGGTGCGATGTTTATTTTCTGGGGGGTTGGGGGCTGTTACTTCACAATGCAGTATAAACCACTTTGCAGACGGTCCCCCAATCTCAGAGCTAATATGTAGATGCAATTAGAATGCGAGTTTATATTTACGTAATTCAATCGGTATCAGGAATTTGAATGTCGAGATATGTCCACTGTGCTCGACCTGCGTTTTATTTTCTGCCCCCCCCTCCACTCGCCTCGCAGAAATGCAAGGGCCTCGTTTTTGGTCGTCGCACCGCTGAGCTCCGCGACTCACCGTCGGTGTCTGAAGGGTGTCTGAAGGTTCCCCTTGTCTACGTTACCGCGCTGCGTGCTAATACCCTCCCGGGATCTCGTGATGAGTCAACAATCCTACCAGCTGCTATTTCACATTCACTTCACGTCTTTTTTTTTTCTTCCATTCGTTTGGGTCTTTCGGTAAAGTCACGTCGATACGTTCAAAGAAAATAACAAAAAAACTACGACTTTCGATCGCAACACTAGGAAAAGGGGGTGGGGGGGAAACGTCATAGTTTTGGTTATTTTTTGTAAATGTATTTGAACCTATCTACGTGACTTTACCGAAAAACCCAAAGAATATGAATTCCTGCAGTCACGAAAGCTTTAAGTCAAGATTTGCTTTTTTTAGTTTGCAACTTTATACTCTTTCCATTGGGTGCCACGGTGGCGAGATGTCAATTACCTCTCCTG